AGGCTTTCCTCAGCTGCGGCAAACTGCAGCTCAGCTCCGTCGGGCAGCAGGGACCCACGGGAGCGGGGGCACCGGTCTCCAGAGCGCGTCCTCCGCAGCACCGACTGGGGAGGGAGAGGGTCAGCACCCGCAGCGGTCAGGCTGGGGAGGTCGGGACTGCTGGGGGGGCTCTGCAGCCTTTACCTTCCTGGCCAGGGGGCTGCTGGGGGCTGAGGCGCTGCTGTAGAGGCTGGGGCTGGGGGTGGGGGGGGCGGGGACAGCACTTTGGAGGAGGGGGCCGACTGGTTCCCTGCACACTTGGCCGTGGCAGCCCCGAAGGCGTCTGGGGACAGGTACTTCTCATTGATCTTCAGGTTTGTCCTTCCCTTCACTGGGGACGACAGAGGTGGTGAGCAGGGCTGGCGCTGGAGGTTCCGTGGCCCCGGGCCAGGCAGTGCAAGACCCTGAGGAGCACGGTGGGCTGTCCCCCACATGGGCACCACCGACCCGCACGGCCCCGCAGGCATCGCACCCAGGCACAGGGATGCCCATCACACCAATGCCAGGACCCTCCTGGCCTCAGCTCACTGCAGATTGTCTTGGCCGCAGAGCCGTGGGTGCCCTGTGCCCAGCGCCTGGCGTGGGACATCCATACGCACCTCTGCAGGGGTCGTTCTTCACCAGGAACTCATCCAGCGCGATCCAGCCCCCGCCGACCCGCACCATCAGGGTGCTGCGCAGGATCCGCACCATCCGCAGCTGCTGGGACTCCCCGAACTGCAGGGGAGAGGGATGTCAGGGCAAGGTGGGGGGGTCTGGGGAGTTCGGCAGGGCTGGGAGCTGGGGAGGGGTTGCCAGAGAAGGTACCAGCACCCAGATCTGCCCATCAACAGGCCATCAGGTCCGTTGCGGTCCCTCTGTCCCTGCCAGCACTGCTTTCCCTGTCGTGCCACAGCATGCACCGTCTGGGGCCAGGGATCCCATGGGACATGGGGATGCGCCCTCTCCCTGCTGCTGCAAAGGGTCTGGGGCAGGGAGCCACAGTGCACGGGGAGCTGTGGGATCTCTGCATAGTGCAGGCTGTGCACGGGTGTTGGCGCAAGCCCGGGATCCCGGGCTGGGGAACGGGGACTGCTGGCCATGGTGGCAGGGCAGGAGGCGGCAGTGGCAGTGTGGGTCGGCACTTACCCGGTACCTGTTGGCGCTGATCTGCTCCACCTGGAAGCGCTTGGCACAGTTGCACTGGGCTACTTGCCTATTCACCTGCGGACGGCACGCTTGGCTCAGACCCACGGCGGGCCCCCCCCACCCTGGCCGGCCCCAGTTGCCGTGGCCCCCCTGCCGTACCTCGTCCTGGAGCTGGTCGGCATCGCCAGTCCGGCGCGGCG